TATATTTTTAATGAATTGTTTTTAGTATTGGGCAATTTATTTTTGTCGGAGCAATGTTAAATAAACATATTTTTTTGTTTACTTCAGAGCTTTCCAAAAAGCTGAGAATATTTGGATGTTTTAAAGTTTTCAAATGTTTCACAGCTGATTTAGCAAGTGCTGAACGGGTTTCACTTCCTGGAATGTCATCATTGATTAAAAATTCAAATATTGAAACTTCTTGTGCGGTGTTCTGTTAAAAATATATATAATAATATGATTATTAGTAAGTTATAACATATAAAATAGAAGGTGTAAAGTATTATAAATAACTTATAAATAAAAAAAGAGTTTATAGAAAGTAGGAGAATAATCTATAAGTTGAATATAAAAGTTAATTTGATTTTGAATAGGTACCTAATTATGTAAAATGAGATTTCTGAATAATGCATATAAATGTTAATTGTTATATATCAGAGTTGGCCAACGATAAGAATCACGTGCCACACAATATAATGAAAAAAAATATGAAGAGCAGAAAATAGAATAATACCTATTATTATACATATTAGTTAAATGTGAAGACATGAGCCACAGTTTTCCCATCCCCGTTATATATTATACTTGGCATAATGGAATAAGTATAAAATTATTTAAAATAACATATTTTAAGTGAAATACTAAGGCTACAAAAGAAAAAAGGGAAAGATTAGCTTACATTATTACTCAAAATGTGTTTTATTAGTAAAATGTGTTTTGAGTAACCTATGTAGATAAGTAGGTTAGGTTAGGTACCTATAGATAATGACTGATACTTAATTAAATTGTGTGAATAAAATACAAAAGTTAATAAATTAATTGAAAATGTCTTTCTGTATGTATATTACTTATTATACCTATGCAATATTAATGATGAAAGAAATTAAGTATAAATTAAACATAGGTACTATTTTACCAAGAATGGGTAGGTAGTCAATAATTAAAGTTAAAATATTAATTATTTAAATTGCTCAGCAACATTAGGTACTAAAATCTTCAAATTAATAATATTCTTATCCAGCATAATATTAATAATTTAAAATACAACTAGTAAATAATTAGATTTTTTATTTAACTTTATAATTAAAAATCATTGATAGATTTTTGATTATAACCAGCATAATGGACTTTCAATTAAAATCTTATTTAATGGTAGAAAATTATTATTTCTCCAAAATTATTTAAAGAGCAAAAATATCCTGGATAATATTAGATAGGTATTTACTATTTACAGATAATCACTCAGCCGATCGGCGATGAAGACTTATCACCTATCACCGAATGTGTCAGTGAATAATCAAATAATACAATATTTGTATTTAGAAAATCTATCAGGATTCAAGCTTCACTCTTACCTTCTTCTTCCCTTTATTCAATTTCCACAGACTTTTTTCGTTGAACACATACTTCGGTGATTCACTGATTTCGTACGGAAAGTCTTTGGATGAGTCTCTTGAGAATATAGTCCACATAGTTGTAAAATACAAGGGTCTATTTTAGGAGGTTTCAATCTAGACTACAGCATTAAAAATAACTACCTATTAGCTATTATTATATTATAGTAACGATTAGTGGACTCGAATTTAAAATACTCATTCAGATGCGTTTGGCGGATAGATGATTACAACTAACAAGGTAATCCATACAAAGTACAGAAACGATTGACTACATCGAATCATGACGATCTATTTTGTCATGCATTAAGCTGAGGAGTAATAAAATCACAACACTATTTAAATACTAAATACTACGTCTCGATGATCTTACAAAATAAATAAATAAATTTACGAAATAAATTTGTCACAACTTAGGTGATAATATTATTTACACGATATTTTGATGTTGTTGATAACAATATTATATAATTTTGATAATACAGAATCAAGCTTGTCGCCGATAACATGTATATTACACTATTGACTATATACATGTTCATTGTACATACTACATATATAAGTAATATTAAGTATAATATTCATAGAATAATAGATATTATGATTTATGGTCCTATGGTTCTAGCTAATAGCTTCTAAGCGAAGAATAGACAATATTATTAATTATTATAATATAAATTTACGTAAATATTTACGTCATTATAATAAATAAGTAATGTAGGTACATATTAAATATACCTACCTGATATTATATTATGAAGATTTGTTTTTTTTTCAATTTTGTAATATAGCGGTATAATCTGTAAAAAGTAAAGACTAAAGATACATTTTTATAATAAGCTATAAACACAAATTATATAAAGAAAATCAGTGGCGTAAATTGGGTCCAATTTCTGGTGGTGCAGAGGCATATTATTAACCTATAATTTCCAACACAAAAATAATCCAACTTTCTAAGTAAAATCTTTCCTAACAAAAAAAAACTATATATTTATCCATACATTTTGTCAACATTTGAACTTCAAATGCTTATAAAAAAAATTGTGGCTATGTATTTTTAATATTTTTCAACGCTATTGTAACAATATATCAAGAGCCTTCCATTAAATTTTCACGCTTTTAACCAACAAATAAAATTTTATTGATATTTATAGAAAAAAACTAAAAAAATTAAAAAATGACAATGTCCGGAAACAGCTCAAAGAGAGTTAAAATATTTTCAAAACTTTGTGGTGTATAGAAAATTAAAATATAAATATATAAATTTTCATGTATTTACAGTTCTTTGTTTGAATAACAACAAATTAACAAAATCGCTACATGAGAAATCTAGTGAATATCCAATCTTGTAAAAATATGATTTTCAAATGCTCATAAAAATTTAATTTGATTTACTTGTGGACATTTTTTTTTTTGATAAAGGCGTATACAAACTTATGAATAATCTTGTATTACATTTTAAAATCTTAGATTTGAAAAGAAACATTTTTATGATTTTTTCAACTCAAATTATATTGTTAATTTTCGTGATTTTTCTGTATTTTGTCAAGATTTGAACTTTAAATGCTTATAAAAAAAACTGTGACTAAGGATTTTTAATAATTTTCTAATGTCATTGTAACAATATAGTTGGAGCCTTTTATTAAATTTCCAAGCTTTTTTACCCAACCAGTGAATATTTCAATTATATATGTAAATGTTCATTTGTTTGGTCAAAAACCAAAATCGATTTTGTCGAAAACTGATTTCGGGTAAAAATTCCTGTTTTTCCTTAATTTTTATGTTGTTTTTCCTGGCGCTTATGAAACCTGAAGAGAATTTTAAAATTTGATTCAATACGACGTCTAGCTATCATCTGACATTTGACTTTTGAGAATTGAATGAACATTGATCCAGTGATAACACACTATTTTGGCGGTAGAATGTTGATAGCAATATAATTTTACCATATTATACCACAGAACAATTATACGTCTATTCTGTGCATGATTAAAGATATAATATCTTTAATCGTGATTCTGTGATACTGCCATAATAAAATACAAAATTCTGTGGATAGTGGTTACCATAGATAATAATCTAACTATTTATGGGGGTTGTACGATATTTTAGAATATAGATAGGCCAGATAGGGTAATAATTTAAATGATAATGTCTAATACATGCACTAAAATAACTATTTTGTACCTCTTTATATATTATATATTTCAATGATTTTCTGGTGGTGCAAAAACATACCTTTGCACCACCACATTTTAGATGTGGTGGTGCAAGTGCTGCATTTGCACCACCCAGTTTACGCCACTGAAGAAAATTATGATTAGCAAATTAATTCTCATAAGAATTTACTAGCTGAGCCGCCCGGAGATGCGCCGATGCCTGTCCGAAAGATTTGTTTTATTTTTATACATTTATTTGTTACAAAAATATTTACCCTCTACCATAATAATTAATACCTAGTAGGTACCGGGGTATCTAACTAATAATTATAATAGTAATGTAATATGTAACCAAATAATGGCAAAACCGTTACCCCAAGGCCCAAACCTCCCAAAAATATAATTTTTTCGTGAGTTGAAAAAAATTCATGTATCTATGAACTACCTTTTATCTACCTACCTGGGTGGTTGGGTATAGGAATTGAAAAAAGTTACTACAAGCCTATCTAAGCTTAAACAGGACACTATAATATTAGTACAAAAAATATCAGGAATTTGAATAATATATTGACTTTAGGTGTACCTACTTAAAAATTCTATAAATCAGAATTTGAATAAATGTATTTTTAAAGGAAAGAAGGTAGTGGGCATTTTTTCCCCAAAATGTCAAGTAAATTTTGTATTTCATGATGGGGCCCCTAAAAAAAAACTGATCCATGGTGCTTTTGTGTGCCAGGCCGACAGTTTTACACTCATATTTCTATGTAAAATAATCAAATATAACAGCAATACAATTATTAATATTATATATATCATATGTAAATTTTTTTTTTTTAATGTGGCCCTTGATGAATATTTGAAAAAAAATATGGCCCCCGTGGTTCAAAAGGTTGTTGAGCCCTGCTATAACGGGTATTTTATTTCCGTGCTTTTTTGTCCGGGGCTTTTTTCCTAGATTCGCTGACTTGTATGGCGACATAATGTCCCTCCTTCTCACAGCCTGGGCTGCTCAGGACCCTCCATGTTATTGACGACAAAATTAATATCATAATTCATAAATCATAATAATATAATATATTATAAATTATAATATTGTATTATATTTTTATATATCTGTATTCGGTGGTATCGACCGACAGAGTCAAGTCGGGGCCCGGGTATAATAATTATTGATTTTACATTTCTGGCGTTGCCAACGCGCCACCAAGTGAAAAAGTCATTGTTCGTCGGCGGCGGCAAACTGCCGTACATCTGATATCACCTGTCGGCATTTGCTTATCATTGTTATCACAGCCATCTTCTTATCTTTCGGACAACGGACTACAGTCTACAGCCAAAACTAACGGCCGCTCCGACGACACCGGACACAATTTGTACAATACACATTATTTAAATGAATTGTCCATTTTAATTCGATCTGCTCGGCATAATGTTCGCGTCTAAATTGCAGACTCAAAACGAGAACAAAGTGAACTTCAAAAAGAAAACATATGCGGAACTACAGGAATTGTACGAAAGGCAACGCAAGATCCTCAGTAACGGGTATGTACTCTTCGTCATAGAACTATTGGCGTATTTAAATCGCCACTAAAATGTTGAATTTTTTTGGTTTTTGGTTTTCCTCTAGACGATTTGTTGAGGGATTGCCTGACAAAGGCGAGAAACTGAAACAGTTCATTGCTCAGCTGGACATAGAACTAAACAAACGTGAAGTTCACAAGAAGCTATGCACAGACATGTTGGCGTTGAACATTGGCAGCGATCAGTTGGATACCTTTGAATGGACTGGTAAACATGTGCCGGCAGTACACAAGAATAGCCAGCCAGATGTCATAGGCGATGATGAAGTGTTGAAAATGTTTGCTTCACATTCTGGAGTTAATCAAGACAAAATAATCATAGAGTACCTATCTTATTCTTTAAGTACTTTTTTTATTTGGGATATGTTTAAGATGTTTCATTGTCTTTCAGAGAGAAACCAGAAAAACCGTTGATCAAACCATCAGATTTAATCGAGGAAGACTCGATTGAAGGCAAACAGCAAGATTACGATTCCGTAGGATTCTCAGAAAACATGGAACGTTATGCTAAAAATTTATGTGGTCGTATTGACACTCACTTGCCAACAGAAAAAAAGCATTTTTTATTAAATAAGCCGGCTGTTCCAAACAAACATACCATAGTTAAATCAGCAGATGTAAGCCTCAAGGAATCTGTGATGTTACAGGTTACTTACGACAGTAAATTGAAGGTAAATTCATTACCATAACTAAGATTAATAAGGCCTGTGTCAAAGGACTACTATTGAGGGCTCCTTTTATTTACATTTGAATTTTTAAAATCAATTAAACTGTTTAAGGTACACATTTTAAAATAAAAACTTACACTTGTAACACCTGTATTTAGATATCTATATGTATTTAAATGTATACAACACAAGTACATTTATTTATATACTTTTATTATTACGTATAAGAGAACAATAATAAAAAAAAAAAAATACATTTATTGGAGCTGTAGGTCGTCTGAATTAAACAAAATAACTTATGAAACAAAGGTTATTTAATGTAGAAGATATAATGTAACATAGCAGGTATTAGGCCCTGCAAAATACAAAATAACTAGTTATTTAAATTATTTTTCTGATAATACTAATATGTATTATTCAACTGCTGTGCAGATTAGAGAAGTTCAGTTTATTGGGATCTGAATTAATGAAATTCTACTGTATAGTCAATAACTTATATTTTTTTCTTAACTAAAGCATATAAGAAGTTAAAAAAAAATAACTCAAATATAACTATAAAATATAAAATGTTTGAAATAATTAAAGAAGTATTATAAAATAACAAAATATTGAAGCGACATTTTATAAATTTTACAGGAGAGCCAAACAACAGTTTTTTTCTGCCTTTTTAAAATTTTAAAGCCATTAAAAATAATTTCATTGAACTTTCACTTAAACAAATTTTTTAGATAATTCACAATAAATAAGTTGGTAACATAATAAATTAAGAGTTGTTATTTTTTTTACCCGTAATGTTAATTTATATACTTTTTTGGTGCTTACACGCCTTAATCTTATTATTAACCTGAATTTTGTGTGGTTACAACCAGCATAATAATAATAATAATAATATTATAATTGTATTCTACTCTGTTTATTTAAAAATGAACAAAACAAAATGTAAAGATATTATCAATAATTATAATAACCAACAATTAATTAAAATCAATAAAAAATATTTAAAATTATTATAAACAGCTGTGGTGGTTACGCTCAAAAATATTGTTTTGTCGCTTAAGCCTGTTATTTGGTGGTTACTCTTTAATTTGATAGATGGCATTTACGCCTTGCAACTATCGATTGTTTTATTATCGAATATACCTTCGTCAATAACCAACATACGATAATCGAGTGAGCACAATAGAATTATGTTGCTTACGCCTTAATTTAAATAAACAAATTTCTTCAAAAAAGTCGTTTACGCCCTTTTTCCTTTCCACCATCAATATAGCCAATGAGCAATGTTAAAAAAAGAAACTATGTATGAGTTGTCAAAAAAGTCTTAAATTATAATTTAGAATAAATAATTAAATCCATACAGTAAGAACTAATATTTATTTTATTATTATTTACTAGCTGATTGAGTGCACTTTGTTGCCTGTTAAAAATTCATTTTAATCAAAAGTTGCATAAAAAAAATATTAGAATATTATGATTCATTATTTATAAAGTCTATTTTCCTATTCCAAACCTATGTTAAATAATTTGTATGTCTTATTTTTTCATTGTTTTAGAGGAGCTTAATGGTTTTGTATACACAGGCCTTATCTAATTCAGTTGTGACACTGTTGAGAGCTTATTTTAACTACCAAAACATACATATTTTAGATTCTGAGCGGAGCGATGAATGTATTAGTTATACAATGATGTGTGTTTTTATATTTTTATATTTTTATATTTTTATATTTTTGTGTCTGTCATCACGTTTTAGGACAGTAAAAGTGCTTGGATTTTCTTCATCAATAGCTTTTCTGATAGGAAAGTGAATCTAGTTGGTACTTTGGGGGGTCAAAAGTATAAATTTCCCAGTAGTTTTCACAAGCGCCGGGAAAACAACATAAAAATTAAGGAAAAACGGGAATTTTTACTCAAAATCGATTTTCCAAAAAATCGAATTTGGTTTTTGGTGTAACATTAAAACAAATGACCGTAGATACATGAAATTTTCACTGGTTGTTTATAATTGCATTTTCAATACACGATAACATTTTCAAAATATTTTGATTTATTTTGAACTGTTTAGGGACATTTTCATTTTTCATTTTTTTTTAGTTTTTTTTCTAGAAATATCAATAAAATTTTATTTGTTGGTTGCGAAAGCTTGAAAATTTAATAGAAGGCTCCTAATATGTTGTTTCAAAGGCAGATGAAAAATATTAAAAATCCTTAGTCACAATTTTTTTTTATAAGCATTTAAAGTTCAAAAATTGTAAAAATATGGAAAAATCACGAAAATTAGCAAATTATTTTGAGTTAAGAATTCGTAATAATTTTTCTTTTTAAATCTAAGATTTGAAAATGAAACACAAGATTCCTTATAAGATTATCTACCTTTATCAATAAAAAAATCTCTACCGGACAGTCAAGTTAAATTTTTATGAGCGTTTGAAATTCAAATTTTTACAACATTGGATATTCACTCGATTACTCATGTAGCGATTTCTTTATTTTGTTGCAATTCAAAAACGAACAACTGTAGATGCATGAAAATTTCACTGAATGTTTAAATTAGCATTTTCTATACACCATACAATTTTGAAAATATTTTGACTCTCTTTGAGCTGTTTATGGACATTTACAGCTTTCAATTTTTTTAGGTTTTTTTTCCATAAATATCAATAAAGTTTTATCTGTTGGGCCAAAAAGTGTAAAAATTTAATACAAGGCTGCTGATATATTGTTACAATATCAGTTGAAAAATATTAAAAATACATAGGCACGATTTTTTTTTATAAGCATTTAAAGTTGGAATTTTGACAAAATTTATCAAAATCTCGAAAATTATCAATCGTTGGAATTAAAAAATTATAAAATGTTCAGTTTTTATAACTAAGAGTTGAAAATTTAAAACAAAGATTCTCTTAAATAATTCATACTGTAACCAAAAAATCTAAAAAATATATAAACACACTTATTTTTTACAGACATTTTAATTTCAAATTTAGCCAAAATTTCATATTTAAACCAAGAATTACGATTTTAGTTATTTTGTTGTGATTGAATAATATTATTCGTGGGTACTTGAAACTTCTAAAGTGTACTATTATATATCTATGACAGTATCACGGTTTTTGTTGATGTATAACGTGTTATAACTGTTATAAGTATCTAATGGATATTGTGATAAGATTAATTTGGAATTTATTATAGGTCAATTTTTTGTTTTATACCATAGATATGTATATAATATGTCTTATACATAGACTGACATACCGTCACCGCTCAGAATCGTTTTTCTTATACAATGATATTATATCATTGAATTCAAATTTAATACCATCCATTATACAGTGACCCACTTGTAACCTACTGTACAGCAGAGCGACACCCACTTGCCCACCTTTTTTTTAAGTATATTGTAATTGCTGTATTTATGCCTGATTGTATGAAAAATGTATTAATTTAATGGTTCAATGAAATGTAATGTACCAATGTGAGTTATTAAATCTTGTTTTAAGGAACCATAGCTCGCTATTGGTTCTTTAAATGCTTAGTGATTGTTCATGCAACCCGGCATTAGTCGATTAATCTGTTCAATGGGGTTTTGTTAGAAATATTCAATACTTATCTAAAAAGTGTTTTGTTTAAAAATTTAAATTATGTTTTATTTTTAAGGAATTAAAAGCTGAAAGCTTGAAACAAAAACCAATTCCAAAGTTTGATACGAGTAATTATCGAAACACAAGTTTGGTCAACTATGACAACATACTTGAAGACGAGAGTGATGAAGATAATGACATACTCGATATTGACAGTGATGCATAATTTAAGATTTTGTTTTGTATAGTTGCTGTTTTTAGGTTCCTTGTAAATAAATAAATTGTAAAAATATGTAATGATTATAAAATCGGTTCAGTTAGGTATGTGTTTTTAATTTAAAATAAATATTTTATTTCTTAATAACTTTGTGTAGATGTCTAAATGTTTTTTTTTTTTTGCTAAATTTATTTGATATTTCAATAACTGTATATTATAAACTATAATGAATACCACTCATAATAAACAAAAAGAAGATTCATTATTTGTTTATTATGAAAGAATTTACCAAATGTTATAATAAAAAATGAAAAATGAAAAAGTTTAATTTGTATTTTACTTAAAATGTATTTAATTGTAAATTAACAAATTTATTGTTTTATGTTCATTTGTATTTAAAATAATTATCACTTATAGTATAACTATAATATACAATATACCTATGTTAAAATTAAAATTACATTGCTCATAATTTTATTTTTAGTATTTCATAATAAATTATTTTATTATATACCTTAAGTATAAATGCCTACTGCCTATACTAGTACACTATATACATGTTGTAAATTAAGTATTAAATTGTTATTCTTTTAATAATAATAATAATTAATCACCATTTATTGAACAAAATATAAAATACATGTAAAGTTATAAATAATTGATTTATTTACCATCTATAAATAAATATGTACTAACCGATTAGTTATAATTGTTTAGTGCGATCATAATTAAATACATACTAATGCGTTTTGAATATTTATAAACTAATCTTATAGTCCTTTTCATACAGTTTTTTAATACCTGTACTTCATAATAATTCTGATTGGTATTATTTTAATAGTATGCATAAAATGTAAAACACATATTATATTATTATGCAATAGTAGTGAAATACTAAATAGTATGTACTAAAAAGTTGAATAAGTGATCATAATTCCCAAAAAAACCTTTTTATAATTTTTATAAAAAAAAAAACAAATTAAAATAAGAAGTAAAAATTATTCACATAAATCAAAATTTAGTATATTACACAATAATTTAAACACATTAATAAATAATAAATATCTAATTTTAGCCATATTATTGCTGCTACACACATATTTACACTTGGCAATAATAGTGAACTAAATTCTGACAAATGTGTTGGACAAATAAAATGTTTTTTTTTTGTGTATGGATAAGTTGATTGTTCATAATATTTAAGATCTAAATAATAAAACCTTAACAAAAACAATACATTATTAACTGTTTACTTAATTCATTATTACTTTTTTTAAATAATTAAAAAAATAATTTGATAAGAGTTACATTTAATTTGTATAATACTATTTGTTTAGTAAATTTTACAAAACTTTTATAAATATTTGCAAAAGATCTCAGTGGACAGGATTTCTAAAAGGGGAGGGCCAATACAAAAGCTGTATAAAAATAAAATTTGTATTGTTTGCACGAGACTACTTTTATATTTATTACCTATTATCTGATTATGATCAGATAATACATTATAAATTAAATCTAATTTGTCATGAGATAAAAATATATAATAAAATACATCCTATTGACCTACTGGAATAAATAATATAATTTTAAACATTTTTTTATTTTTATTAATTTATTACCTGGGTATATATTTTGTTTTGAGGTACCTATACCTACCTATATGGCTATATCTATACCTACTTATATTTATTAGGCCCAAGTCTAATCTAAAATTTTCATTCTCTTAAGATTTTTTTAAAAGAGCTAATATATTTTTTTTCATAATTGTCAAAAATGCAGCAGATGCAGATGTGAGTGGAAGGGTGGGGGGGGGGTTTGGTTTACATACGATAACAATAAAATAAGTGATAAAGTAATGCAAGCGTATTTTCCTTTCCCACTGGGTGATTTAGGTACCTATGTCAAGATGTTTCTAATAACATACCTACGCATAGGTACCTATATATTCTTTTTACACTCAAATAATAAAAAAGAGGTTTTAAATTCTAAAACATTACTTATCAATGGTAATTAATCATTATAGTTAGGTATTGGGTATAGTTAAGTATATATTATCTATTCATGTCACAAACTCACAACATAAACCTTATAGATAGGTAGGTATGTGAAAATAAAATCATAATACATATAGAACACAATAAGAACTTATAAAATTATAAAAATAAACCGTTTATAAGTTCCAAAATATGGCTATAATGATTTATAACAGTAGGTACAATGTAAATATTTTGGTTTTATTTAATTTTCAGAAGAATAATGTTATACCTATTCTGATGAGTGTCGCATATAATCTGTATAAATTTGGTAAAGCCGTTTTCATTTAAAACAGTAAAATAAGTTTTTTCTACATAAACAAATATATATTAAACCGAATCCGAACGAACGTGGTGACCCCTAAAGGCCTAAAGATCCTTTTATTTATATCCCTGCAGGGAAAAAAGTCCGGGTTCGTGAAGCTTTTATATTAATATAGTTGACGTCAGAAATGAGATCTGAAAATGGTTGGTGGTTAAATAATAATAATTGATTGCCGTCTGTCTAAAATATTTTAACACCTATAGGAAAATATGCTCTGTGCATTGGACGTCGAGCCGAAGCGTAATATTTAATTATATAATTAGGTACCTATTTCATGTTACATTGCAATGGCACTAGGTAGGTACATAGAACGGTACCTACAAATGACATTTATTTAATTATCATTATCATATTTTTTTTTAATTTCTAAATGGCGATTTCGATTGCGCGGAAGGCAAACAAATACAACATTATAACGTCACATTATATTTGTTTTATATTAATGTGCAGAATAAATATTTTCGAACCGTACAGTATAAACGTTATTGTAAAGGTACCTGAACACACATTAAGCATGTTTGTATCTATAATTATTATCGTGTCCACTCCATGTTACCATTATTAATATTGTTCACGATTTACATTTGTTTTTCAACCAGCAATCGTTTTGTATCTAAGGTACCTAATAATAATAATAATAATAATAATAGTAATAACTAATAATATAATAATAACTAGGGCCCGGAACTTTATGACCTAAAAATCTTTAAAAATGCACAAAAAAAAAAAATGTTAAAATTACTTATAAACAAGAAAAAATGACCACAGAAATACCAAAAATTATTTTATAATGACTTGACATTTTTAAAAATTTAAGTTTAACAAAAATTCCTTTTTTTACAATTCATGGGTCATAAATTGTATTTATTATAGGTTCTAGCTCTTTAAAAATGTTTACTCTCGAAGGAGCCTTCAAAAATATTTTTTTGAAGTTTGAAATAATTCGATCGACTTTTGGGGAAATGTTTTCTAATTGACCGGGCCTGAAATAGTATCACCCTCGGTGGCGGATTTGTGGCTTTTTAAAATTGAATTATAGCGCCGTATGCAGAGCCGTAGCAATGTCTATTAGCGCTCCTGGCCATTTATCATATTTCCGCCCTTGTACAATTTTTAACCCCCCCCCCATACACACATATAAAAGACTTATGCATTCGTTATTTTATTTTTAATAGTAAAAATTATAATATTAAAAAAAAAAAAAAAATAGTAAACACTGCCAAACTTATTAAAACCTTATAAAATAATCAAAAAAAAAAATTATTTTTTACATTTCAAAATTTCACTTTTCGTGCATTTTTGGTAGTTTATAATTAAACTCCACTTTAGAAGGTTTACATTTTTTTTTATTAAGATTATACTAGTACAGTAGTACGTATACTACACATGCGTTTGTTGTCTCCGTATTACAAACCTACGACATACCAAATTTTCGTTCACTAGTTTCAATAATGTGCTGTTAGTTTTTAATTTTTATATCAATGGTGATGGTCAATTATGAATATTAACTATGGACCTATTATTAAACTTTTAGTTTAGAACATTAGCTGTGCTTAAGCGTCGGCTTTTATTCGATATTTAAATTGAAAATGCTCTTATCCCGCTTGAAAATTAAAATATGGAATAAAATCAGACGCTTAAGCACAGATAATGTTCTTAACTAAAAGTTTAATAATAGGTCAAAACACTCTTAATATAAAAACTCACAGCACATACTATTGTAACTAGTGAACAAATATTTGCTATGTCGCTCGTATGTAAAACCGATAACAAAAGGATTGGTAACGTCCAGATATAATTTTAAAAAAAATAAAATAAAATCTTTTAAAATATAATTTAAGAAATAAATTTATATTTTCAATAAGGAAATAAAATTTCTCAGACTCATTAAATTTATGTTTAATCATTAAACTGAATTAAAGATATTTTTTTATCGATATCACTATCAAGCTAGTTGTCCAAATTACTCTATAATAATAGTGATAAATATCTAACCTTAGATTATCAAAAATAGTCCGTAGGATTAAAATAAATAAAATAGATACTTGGTGTGAACTGTGAAGATAATTTTTAAGACAATATTAGACTAATATTAATTATTATTTCTTTTTCTTAACTCCAAATAAGATTTAGAGGATTTTAAAATAATTAGTCGATTAATTGGCGAACAAACTATCTTAATGTTTATACATTATTTAAATTCAAATTTGATCGATAAAAACCAACGAATGTTAATAGTGACTTCTTGTATACCTACTAGATATTTAGTATTTACATTCTTATAAGCAATTATTTTGTATAAACCTAGGTTACTACTTAATACTTATATTAATATATTATGAACTACAATTAAGTGAATTAATTTAATTTTGTAAAATTATAATTAATAATAATTAGGAATTCACCGCAGAACTGTTGTGGAAGTTCTTCCTTTCACTGACTAATATAAAATGACTAAATATTGAAATAGGAGTATCTACCTACCTATAAATATGACGACTGACGGGACTATAAGGGAGTCTTTAAAATATAATAAATTTAGAATCCTAATTTCACTTTAACATGCAGTTAATATTTAATAATAATGATCGATTTTCAAAACTACCATGTTGATAATTGACTTGGGTGCCGAGATGGTTGTATAAGCAGCA